CTCCTTTCATGCTATGAAGTTTCCTGTGGCACTGTAAATCTCACCTGTTTCCATACCTTTCCTCTTCCAGATCCATCACATATTCTGCTCATCTTGTTTTCCTCCAGATCTGTCCATACTATGTCTCTGTCATAGTGTGAATTCCATGAGGTTGGTTTCTCCTCACCCATGTATGATGCCTTCTGTGTCTCAAAATGGCCACACTTCATCAGGTCATGGCTTCTCCTCTCTCTCCTCAGTCATTGTCCTCATTCCGTCTCCCTTTCCAATCAGCAGTCAATCTAATTTTTTATCCTCTAATTTGACTCTCAGAGTTCCAAGATCATTGTCTGTATATGTTTCACGCATAGTGCCTGAGGCATTTGACTGCTAACCAGAAGGCTGGTGGTTCAAACCCACTCTTTAGAAGGAAGATTGGGCGATCTACTTCAATAGAGATATCACTTCTGAAACCCAAGGAGGAGTCGCTATGAGTCAGAAATGACTCCACAGCAGTGAGTTTGGTTTGGTTTTTTGGTTGTAGAGGGATTTTTGTGGAGTGTGTCACCATGATGCCGTCTTGTCGCTGCCTCAGCAGTTATGATATTTTCATTTAATTTAGTATAAGTCATTTTTTGGTCCATTTTTTGGCTAAGCAAACAAACTGGTAGAGCCCTTTATAATACCTTGAGCTAAAACATTGAATCCAGAATCCAGCTTAGTGGGCCCATATCACTCAACTCAATGCAATCCCACTTTATGTTCCTCCCACCATTATCCTGCACACTTAATATCCTTACCCATGCATATTACCAAGATTTCTGCCTGGGTAATATATTGAAAAAGCACACTTTCTTTGGAGTGTAATGCACCTTTTCATGAGTCACTATTTGTACCTCACCTTTCTGGGTCTCCTGGGACTTGAGTCTCATTATTGGTATAGAAGCAAAAAGGGGCTGTAGAGTGGGCCCTAAGGACAGTTAGCAGTTTCTTTCAGTGTATCTGCCTCAGGTTAGGTTATTACAATTTCCTCAGCTAACACAGGATTAATTTCCTCAAACAGGAATGGAAGTGCTGCTTCTACTGAAAAGTGGACTCTGCAGTGTTTGAAAGTTCAGTGTCCTCACCTTCATCAAGATCTGCCCATATGTTCTCATTCCAACTTTCAGGATTCCATTTCTTTCTAACCAGTACCCTCACTTAAATACCAGATACCATGTGAGGTTGAAAATTCGATTGGTGTTGTAATTCAATCACTTGTAAGATGATTCTCTGGGTTCGGTTTTCAGCAATCTCGGATTTGTGACTATAAGACATAAGGTTTTTTGGTTTGGTTTGGTTTGGTTTTTACAGGGCACACATAAACTTTCAAGTCATATATGTGGTGCTTGAGCTGGTAATTTGAAGTTCTATGGTCAATTTTTTATTTCTCCATGTTTTTCAGAGAAATTAGAAGCAAATATCCTATGTTATTGTAGTCATCAGTTTGTCAAAAATGTTCTAAGGTGTCAAATATGTGATCATTTGTTTCTTGTAAGTATTTTATTATGAGGCACCTGAGAAGAAAGGCCTGGTGATATACTACAAAGTATAAGCTACTGAAAACCCCGGGGAGTACAGTTCTACTCTGACACACACAGGGTCTCCATGAGTCAAAATCAACTCAATGGAAACCAATAACAAAAACAATCCGATGGTGATATTTTACAAATCTCTATTGCCATTTCAGGAGCTCTGGTAGCTTAGTGCCTAAGGTGCTTGACTACTAACCAGACTACTCCTCGGAAGGAAGTTTGGGCAATCTACTTCTGTAGTGATACTGCCTTGGAAACCCAAGGAGGGGTCACTATGAGTTGGGTCCAACTCCACGGTACATAACAACATAATAACAACATTGCCACTTCACACCATGGACTATTAGTGCCCACTTTACTATTGAAAATAGTTATTCATGCTCTTAAATCTAATGATTTGATTTGAGATGAGATTTGAGAATGAATTCAGAAGAAATTCAGAAACTCATCCTTAAGATTCTATCTCACTGAAACCATCCTCATTACCAAAGACTATATTAGTCAGGGGTCTCCAGAGAAACAGAACCAGTAAAATTTATCCATAACTCATCCCTGCTCTCATCATAAAGCCTCTCTGAGTTATATCATCCCACAAATGACACAATAATTTCAGGCTGGAGAAATCTTCACACATAAGGTGGAATTTGAGTTGTTCCCTTAAGTGTTGACCTGTTTAGATGGGTGGAGGAAAGGAAGATAATATTTTAGAATGGAGAAATAGTTTCCACATTGTATACTTACTGAGTTTCAATTATTTACCAAGCATTGTGCCAAGTGTTAGGAAACAAAATGATGCAGCCTTGACCTTGAGCTCTTAATAGGGGCCACAGACTCCAAGCCAACAATGTGGGGAGGCTACCATGGAGATATGCACAAAGCATTATCACAGCAGGTAACCAGAAATCTCAACTCAACAAAGGCTCTTGGAGGGGGTGACATCTTAACAGCATCCTGAAAGACTGAAGATTTCTCTAGCCAGAGAAGATGGGTGAAGAGTTTAAAGGCAGAGGTGGTATTATGAGATGGTGTCTGGGCCTGTGGGCAAAGAGAGATTGTGAACCGGGTCTACAGAAACACAGTTTGGAGCAGAGCCTGTAACTTGTGTTCTCTTCAGCCTTGAAAGGCCAGATGGTAGGAGTTGTGCTGCCTACTGCCCAGTGACTTAAGCTACATCTAAGCTGGAGCTTTTGAGTCTCACAGAGGCAGCCCCTTCTGGCCTAGTAACCTCCTTGCATATTTTGAACTTGCAAGGCTTGTCTGATTAGTGAATGTGGAGTATCTGGAGCCTAGATATGGATCCCTCCTCTGCTCCCCTCTCCTCGAGTTTAGGAGAGACTGTGGAGATACAGTTCCTGGCATATATGACTGAAGGTACAAAGATAGTCAAGAAATAGCTAAACCTCATGGAAACAGAAAATACTGAACAAATTTAGTATGAGCAGCTTTAAAAGATAACATTTTCAAGATAACATAGGGAAATCAAAAGGCAGTTTTCACTTTAGGAAGGAAAATAAAAATGTTGGAGAAAATTGCAGTAATAATAAACACATTTATTGCCCTTTTCCTGAATATTAGTTATTTACTGCTGTATAACAAGTTACCCCAAAACTCAGTAGCTTAAAACAACAAATATTAAAATGTCACATAGTTTCTGAGACTCAGGAATCTGGGAGCAGCTTAGCTGGGTGATGCTGGCTCAGAGTTTCGCCTGAAGTTACAGAAGCCCGGGCTGTCACCATCTGAAGGCTTGACTGGCCTACATGATCTGCTTCCAAGCTCATTCAGGTGGCTGTTGGCAGGAGGCTTCACTTCTTCACCACATCTCTCTGTAGGCCTGCTCACAACATAGCAGCTGGTTTCCCCAGGGTGAGTTGTCCAAGAGACGGACAGAGAGAGAGAACCCAAGATAGAACCATGGTGTCTTTTATAACCTAATTATGGAAGTGGTATACCATCACTTATGCCATATTGTATTGCTCACCCAGACATATTCTGGTACAGTGTGAGAGGGGACACATTGGGTGTGAATATGAAAAGGGAGAAATCATTGGCAGCCATCTTGGAAACTATCATGCCTTGGAATATCCAGGTCAAAATACAGACTTTTTTTTTTCTTCTGTAAATCCCATACCCATGAAATTCCAGACATACTACCTTATCTCATCCTCTTTCTCACTTGCTTTGCTGAGATCTGTTTTCTGAACTCTGCTGCTACAGATCAGAGCAGCAGAGCTCAATTCAGTTTGAATTTTATTATGGGGAAGTAGAAGCTGAGGACAGTCATGTCCACTCTGCTTCCCTCAGGATTAATTTCATTTTTGTTATTATTATTATTATTATACAAGTACTCTATCTTCATTGTAGAAACTACAGATAAATAAAGATAAATGAAAACAGCAAAAAGAAAAATCATCTGCAATAACACCACTCAGACATTGCTAAAATAAATATACCCTTCCACATTGTTTTCTAAGCAGAGATATACAGATAGAAGGCTTAAAAAAGAAAAAAAAAAAATTAAACAATATGTTACGTTATACCATGCTCTTCTCACTTAAGATGTCATGAGCACCTTGCCATATAAATAGAGACCATCATCTTGGATACTAATTGTACTTTGGGTTTCAAAAATGTACGACATGCCTACTCATCTTTTGTCTTCCAAGCCAGAGCCATTTCCTCTGGCACCACCACTCTCTCATACCCATGACTAGAGAATAAGGGCGAGTATCTCCTCAGCAGAGGAAAAGTGATATAATGGGATTAGAATTAAAGGGAAGAAGGACAAAGGAACCACCCTCCCTCTCTTGCACAGCAGTGAAACACAAAACCTCTGTGGGGACCTGATGGCAATAGGGCTCAACTATAGATAGGCTGGCTTGTAGGGTTTAGGGGCACTGGGTAGACCATTAAAAAAAAAAAAAAAAATCTGCCATAGAGTCAGTTCCTACTCATGGAGACCCTATGGTGTCAGAATAGAACTATGTTCCATAGGGTTTTCAGGGGCTGATTTTTTTTTAAGTAAATCATCAGGCCTTTCTTCCAAGGTGCCCATAGGTAGACTCAAACCTCTAATTTTTGGACTGGCAGTCAAGCACATTAACTATTTGCACTCTAGGGACTCCAAGTTACCATTAAGCATAAATAATTCCCACCACTCCCCCAAACCTGCCCTTTAGAAATTCTTTTGTGTTACTTGCAGTTTATCTCACATGGTTTTCATAAGATTCCAGAACAGTAGTAACAGCCAATAGGGAAGGAAACTGTGGGCTGAGTCTCAAGTCTCAGAAGAATTTACCTGAAGTGGGAACCAAGCAAAGGGAGTGTTGCTCTATGCTCAGTCAGAGGTGAGGGCCATGACAGCAGAAGGGAGTCATCACCTTGGGTGTCTTCCTCAAGCCCCTGCCCAAGCTGGTCCTTCCCAGGGAATTCTGGGGACACATTGCCCTAGTCACACTGTTGAAAGTAGAAGTCTATGATGGGGGCATCCCAACTATCATCCTTGGGGAGCTGGGTGAGTCTCAGGGGCTGGTCTGCTTCAGGCACAGTGCAGAGGAACCAGCCTGGGTAGGCAGCTGACTCAAAGCTGGAGGTGAGCCCAGTGTCCCGCCTGTAGAAGGTGAAACTCTTGGATTCTTCAGCACTGAGGTAGAGCTCCATGATATTCACTGGCTAGAAGCAAAGGGACACAGTAGGTGAGGGGCATAGATAGCAGAGAACTGGGCAGAAAGAATGGACACGGCTCAAGAGGGGAGGCAGAGCTACAAGTGACTTAATCCTGTGGGGGCATTCCCTGGGGAGGCTCTTCAGCTAGAAGCACACAGTCTCAGCGAGCTCAGTGTCTACTGACTTGGTTGCCATATTGGGAGGATGCCCCAACAGGACTTACCTCTAGTTTCAGACTTGGTTCCTGCCCTGTCCCACACGACAGGCACTGGCTCCCTCCCTGGATGCCCAGAATGACTGGGGAGAACCTAGCATCCAGTGACCGATTTGGAACAACGCTGATCTCTTCACCTAGAGGAGGGAGACCAGATAGAGGCAGGGGTATTGGCTACACTTGCATCCCCTCTTCCCAAGCCCTAAAGTTTGGGAAGTAGGACCTGTGTGAGACATTATTTACTAGGCTAGGAAGAAACAAAGTCTCACAGCATCTGTCCTGTTGTGTCAGGCCTGAGGAAAGGGGTCTCCTGCCCGCTAGCCCAGAATGGCCACAGAGGCCCATAAGTACATTATACCTCCTCCCACTCTATCCTTTTGTTTAGGTTCAAATATTCCTCCCCTTTCCAGGCCCAGTTTAAGTCTTCTTTAACCCCCAACGTAGATGTGACCACTTGCTTTAATGTACCATGGCTCTCTGCCCTCTTTCCTGCTGCTTGTCTTGTTCAGCCTTCCATCACAATTGTTTGGACATCTTTCTATCTCCCTTTGAGATTATTGAGGGCAGAGGAGGGTCTCATCCCTTGCTGTACCAACCTAATCACACACACACACACACACACACACAAGGCCTAGTATCAGTGTGCATCAGTACCAGGTGAAGGTGTCCTAGGTGAGCAGATATACCTCATTTTAGAAAGAGTCACTGTCATGGTGTGAGGAGCAAGTAAGCACAAAGCCAGATGGTGCCACCCAATCTCTGGATCCCAATAGTCTGAGAAACAAAGACCCCTCAGAAAGCAGAGGGGAACCAGAGTGAAGGGGCAGAAACACATTCCCATTTGGTCATAAGGGCATAGAGAGCCTGTTTGAGACCAGACCTTATCACTGATTCCCTGGGAAATGGGCTACTAAAAGTCTCCCTATGATGGATTGCCAAAACATTCCTCTTGGATAACACTCCCACTTCTGCATAGAGTACTCAAGTAGCAATGAAACCCATGTCCTCACTTTCCTTTTCTTGCTCAGGGCCTGGTTATATTGCCATATATAATGGATAGGCCTGGGGTCTCATAGGCCTGGGTTCATTGGCATGACAATTTTGAAGCCTCTTTAGACCCCCTCCCCTCAGAGTGTGCAGACACCTAAGACAGTAGGGTCATGTTGCGCCACCCACCTTTAATGATCTTCCCTGCATGCAGCCCTCCAGCCAGGAGCTGGTTCTCATGCAAGTAGAGCACCTTCAACGCTGCATCCTTCATTCTGAAACATCAGAATTGGGTGAGACTCTGTTATGGGAGGGACTGGCATTTCCTTTGCTGGACTCCAGAGAGTCATCCAATCTCAGGCATTTCCCTCTTCTCTGCTAGCCCAGCTGGGATCATATTCTAACAAAAGGACCCACCCCACAGCCTTCCATCGGAGACTGGGGTTAGCTCCTATTCATTCTTTTCTTTATCAACAAATCACCTTGGTGTGTTATGTTAGGAAAGAAACTAGACTGAGGGTCAGAGACTTGGGTTCTACTTGCAATTCTGCCACCCTTGTTGAGTGACCACAGACAGGCCATTCTCCCACTGTGGGTCTGAATCTCCCCATTGCTAAACTAAGACTATGGGTTAGATAATACCCAGACCTATCCTAGATTAAAATCTGATTCTTCAATCATGTTGATGACATCAACACGTAAATTTCCAAACTAAGCAAGGAATTCCTTTAAGTTCAAAAGCCTTCCATTTTACTTTTCAAAAATTTTCCATCTATAATCCCAGGTGATTTTCTATTGTCTTGTGAGGTGAAAGATGTATCCTAAAGTGGGTTTCCACAGATGTAATATAAGGGGGTAAAAAGTATGCTGTATACAGATTGGTTCAGTGTTTAGCTAAACACAATTAAGCAAGTCTCTACTTCAGAAAGTTTTAAATTCACTAATATGCTGAATTGCATGGTAGTTCTCTAGCAAGTGGCTACAGAAAATAGCATTTCTCATATCATATGCCCAGGGAGGTTCATTGTAGAAAATATTTCATAGGACTGAGGTTTCATAGAACACTTTGGGAAATACTGTATTAGACTCCGAGTTCAATAAGGGCAAGAACCACTGTCACTCTGTGTTGTGAAGTTTAGAGCATAGCAGAGTGCCTGGCTTGGTACATGCTAGTGCACCAACAGGCTGACTGACTGATTTTTTTCTTTTCTTTTCTGTTTTTTTTTTTTTTTTTTTTTGAGTGCAAAGGGCCTCAGGGGGACACAGAACAGTTGGACTGACATCAATTCAATGAGGTAGGTGGCAATAACAGCATTCCAAGCCAGGTCTCCTGACTTGCAGATCCATTCTCATCACAAATAGCCTAGGCTTCAGTTCTGGGCTGGATGGATCACTTGTACCACCTCAGTGTTAAGGAACTCCCACGAAGTGGCCAAGTTCAGCCTAAAGAGGGCTGGAAGGACACCTCTAAAGCAGAGAGCTGCTATTTGCAAATTCCCAGCTACCTGCCCTACCTGTGAGAGCCATAAGACAATTGTAGGCCATTCCTGCCTTACAAGGCTAGATAACAGGTCTACTCAGACTTATTTTACCCAGAGAATACTACTGCATCAGAGGCTCAGATACTCACCGGAAGCACAGCGCTCCACTCAGGACCATCTTAAGCTCCAGAGTATGTAGATTCTTCTATTTAGAAATAAATATTTGAAAAGTTTGAGTGGAGATAGGCTGAACTGCCAGGAGCCAAGTAGCAAGCAGCCTCCTGAACCTGTGAATATGTGAGCAGAGGATTCTGGGTCTGCGATCTGGAGGGAGGCCAGTGCTGCCAGGAAAGAGGAATCACAGCTCCTCAAAGGACAAGTCAAATGTTCCTTTCTCCTGGCCCGAGCCTGTGGTGTCACCAGCTCCTCCTAGGGATGTCTCAGCCCTTTAAAGTATGCATAAGGGAGGAGCCCTGAAACTGCCACAACCTGGTGAAGAGCAGGGTTTTCCAGAATGATTTCATATCACCCTACAGCCTCCAGAAACACCTGTCACTGGTTATTTCTCTGAGGAGGGAAACCTTTGGAGACAATCTCTTTATAGAAATTCTGAAGAACTTCCTCGAGTCTTTCCAGCTGTCCTTGAGCACACAAGTCCTGGGAAAACATCTTTGAAAATGACCTCCTTTTCTCCCTCTCCTAGCTTCCCTCTTTCATCCCTTCCTTCTCTTCCTGCCTCCTTCTCCCTCCTTTCTTTTCTTTTTTACTTCCTTCCCTCTAGCCTTCCTGCTTTTGCCAGTTCTATGGGAGATGCCGGAGGTAGGAATCTCCTACTTAGAAGTTGTTTGGCATACATGTTCGTTGTAAAAAAAAAAAAAAGCTTGAAAATCTAGATTAGAAAAAGGAGAAATGTGGAGATGTCTTTTGTGAGTTTATGATCAGAAAGCAAATAAGAACACTTTTCCCTCTGCACATATATACACATAACTATAAATTTTCACCCAATTGCATCATGGAAAGTATATTCCTTTTCTCATTTTAAATCTATTTCCATGTTAAAAAAATAATAGTAGAATATCTTTCCATATCAAATGTAAATAATGACATGATAATTTTTGAATATATAGTATTTCATTATGTAGCTGCATCATCATTCATTTATTCCAATCAATTATGGCACAATGGTTAAGCACTCAGCTGCTAACCAGGAGAAAGATCTAGCGATCTGCTCCTATAAAGATTACTAATCTAGAAAACTCTATGGGGCAATTCTACCCTGTCACATGGGGTCTCTATGCATTAGAATTCACTCAACAGCACCTAACACAACATATTTATTATTATTATTTTGCTATTAGAAATAATACTGTAATAAACATCTTTGTATAATCATCTTTGCTCATGAGTCTGATTATTTTGTTAGGAAATAAAATCTGGTTCATGACATCTTTCTTCCTCAAATACCTAACTGCTGAAATAATATTTGATTGTGAAAGAATTTGTGCAGTTTTAGACTTCCGTGCACTCTCTGTAATGGATCCTAATTAATGATGAGGATCAGTGTGTAACAATGAATTTAATTATCTCTTGAATATCATTGAAAGCGATTTATTGTTAAAGCAAAAAATTGAAAGAAATAGTATTCAGATGTATAGGTTAAAAAAGCTTTAAAATGTTCAAAAATTAATAAAATATTAAGTTCCTCAAAGGATATAAAATCCTTCACATAATGCCACAAATGTGATAAACACTTTTGAGCAAAATAAAATTAATATAGGAGTTACCTTACACAAAATTGTTAAATCAACCATAAAATGATCAAATAGAAATGACTCTGACACAGTTGCCAAAAAAGTTAATAAATAAAACCCTCCAAAAAAGAAGTGGCCTGTATAGAAAGTTATCACTTTTCTGTCAGTTTGTCATACTGTGGTGGCTTGCATGTTGCTGTGAGGCTGGAGACTATGCCGCTGGTATTTCAAATAGTAGCAGGGTAACCCATGGTGGACAGGTTTCAGCAGAGCTTACAGATGAAGACAGACTTAGAAGAAGGAAGGGGCCATCCCATCTCAAAGAATTGGCCAGTGAAAACCTTATGAATAGCAGTGAAACATTGTCTGATATATTACTGGAAAACTTTATAAATAACCCAGAAATATTATCTGATAACAGTCAGGAAGATGAGCCCCTCCGGTTCAAAATATGACTAGGGAAGAGCTGCCTCCTCAAAGTAGAGTCAATCTTATCAATGATAATGAAGTAAAGCTTTCAGGACCCCCATTTGCTGATGGGGCATGATTCAAAATGGGAAGAAACAGCTGCTAATATCCATTAATAATCAGAACATGGAATATATGAAACATGAATTTAGGAAAATTGGAAGTAGTCAAAAATGAAATGGAACACATTAAAGATTGATAGCCTACACATTAGTGAGCTGAAATGGATTGGTTTGGGCCATTTTGAATCAGATAACCATATGATCTACTATGCCAGAAATGACAAATGGAAGAGGAATGACATGGCATTCATCATCACAAAGAATGTTATAAGATCTACCCTGAAGTACAATGCTGTCAGTCATAGGAAAATATCCATACACCTACAAGGAAGATCAATTAATACTACTATTCAAATTTATACACCAATCACCAAAGCCAAAGACAAAGAAATTGAAGATTTTTCCCAACTTCTGTAGTCTGAAATAGACTAAACATGCAATCAAGATGTATTGATTATTACTGATGATTGGAATGTGAAAGATGGAAACAGAGGAGAATTACTGATGGTTGGAAAATTTGGCCCTGGTGACAAAAATAATGCTGGAGATCACATGATAGAATTTTGCAAGACTAACAACTTATTCATTGCAAATACTTTTTTTCAACAACATAAACGGCAGCTATACACATGAACCTCACCAGATGTAATACACAGGAATCAGTTAGACTACATTTGTGGAAAGAGGTGATGGAGAAGCTCAGTATCTTCTGCCAAAACAAGGCCAGGAGCTGACTATGGAACAGACCATCAATTGCTCATATTCAAATTCAAATTGAAGCTGAAGACAGGTAATACAAGTCCACGAGAGCCAAAATATGACCTTGAATATATCCTACTTGAATTTAGAGACCATCTGAAGAATAGATTTGATGCATTAAACACCAATAACTGAAAATCAGACAAATTGTGGGATGAGGTCAAGAACATCATACATGATGAAAGCAAAAAGTTCATTTAAAAGAGAGGAAGGGAAGAAAAGGCCAAAATGGATGTTGGAAGAGACTCTGAAACTTGCTGTCAAACAGAGAGTTGTTAAAGCAAATGGAAGAAGTGACAAGATAAAAGAGCTGAAGAGAAAATTTTCAAAGAGCAGCTTGAAGAGACAAAACCAATTACTATAATGAAATGTGCAAAGACCTGGGATTAGAAAACCAAAAGGGAAGAACACACTTGGCATTTCTCAAGCTAAAAGAACTGAAGAAAATATTCAAGCCTTGCGTTGCAATATTCAAAGTTTCTGTGGGTCAAATATTGAATGATGCAGGAAACATCAAAGAAGGTGGAAGGAATAGTGAAGTATCAGGTATGTCTATGAAGTGGAGAATGTACCCATGGCCACGTATAGGGTTGGCAGACAATGGTCCTATAAATGTATTTGTATGATCTGTATGAATTCCCAGGCGTATATTGTGGAGCTGACAAGGGACAAATTTGTAGTCACTTCTTGGTCACAGCCAGCTACCAGAGGGACCAAGTAGTTGAACCAGTGGGCTCAGGACCATAGTCGTAGGGGACATCAAGATCAACTGGCATAGCATACTACACAAAACATTGTTCTACCTCCTACTTTGGTGAGTAGTGACTGGGATCTTAAAAGATTCCAAGCAGCCATCTAGCTACAACAATGCGTTTCTCCTCGTCCAGAGCAAAGAAGAATGATGAAAACGAAAGATTCATGGAAACAATTAGTCCTAGCAACTGGTACACCATGCAATCCACAACCTATATGACTATGAGACCAGAAGAACTAGATGGTGCCTGGCTACCACTGTCAACCACTCAGAGGGGGATCTCTCTAGGAGATCCTAGATAGAGAGGGAGAACAATGTGGAACAAAACTCAAAATCAAGAGGGGGCAGGGTGGGGACCAGGTTTGCTGATCTGATAGAGCCTGGTGGAACCACTGAGACTATGGCTCCTAGCTGCCCTTCAGGTCTGGAATTGAACCCACACCTGTGGCTTCCAGCCAAACAAAACAGGCATATGAGTTGAACATTTACCTGAAGTAGATAC